CTCCAAGGCCGCGGCGGCCCCTCCGCCTGCTATCGGGGTGGGCTCGTCGCGCGTCGGCTCGCGGGAAGCGCCAAAGGGGGCCTCAGCAGCTACCCCCCGCACCTTCCAGCGAGCGGCCAGGGTGAGCGCCTCTCGCCAACTGCTTGGCGTAGTGGACGGGGCCTCGCGCGGCACAATTGAGGCCGCCTTCAGGCGCCAGTCCCTAGTCTACCATCCAGACAGGACTCCCGCGCACCTGGGCGCCGACGAGCGAGCAGCCCGCGCGCTGAAGTGGAAGCAGCTCTGTGACGCCAAGTCAGTGTTGCTCCAGGCCGTCTCGCAGGCCGCCGCGCCGCCCGATGTTCCTAGCACGGGCGGCGACGGTCCTGCCGCCCGCGCCTACGCCCGGGCCAAGGCGGCAGGAAAGGGCGCCCGCAAGGGCAAGCTGGCTCCAGGGTCGACCATGGCCCTTCAGGCGCTCGAAGAGGCGGTCTCCTCGCGGGTCGCCCTTGCGAGCGCCGAGCTGGCCCCTCGGGCTGCCCTCCCCGCCTCGGGCGCGCCTCTCCCGAGGGGCGGGGTTTCGTCTGCCCTCGCGACGCGGGCGGCTGAGTCGGATGCCACCCTCGTCTCCGCCGTGTCGCGCGGCCGCGTGGAGCTCGACGCACTCCGCACCGCGCGTGCCGACGCCACCAGGCGCACGGTGCAGGCTCCTGCACGCGGCGAAGGAGAGCGTGCCGTCGCTCGTGCCGAGCTCGCGGAAGGGATGGCCGATCGCGCCTACTTCCGACGCGTGCGCGAGGCCGCCAGTCGAGAGGCCGCGGGCTTGCCGCGCACTGCTCCCGTCCAGCTGGGTCGGGATTGGCGCAAAACCTTGCGCGCCGTCCTGCACAACGCTGAGGTCTCGACGGGCCTCGCCATCGCAGAACGTGCCGCTCGTGCTGGGGACGCACCCGCGTCGTCCACTGGCCGCTCCTTGGCCGAGGTGGAGGCTGAGGACCCGCGCGCCTTGGCAAGGCCCGCCGACGACCCTGCGTCCAGCTTCAGCCGTCGTGAGCGGCGCGCGGTCCGCGCCCGCCTGGGCCCGCGGGATGAAGCGGTCGAGGACCAGCCCAACCGCGGTGGTCACGCGCCGCACTCCGCCTCGCGCACGGGCGCCGCGCGCACCAGGCGCGCCGCCAGGCAGCGGCGGGCTTCGATGGCGGCGCCCCCCGCCCCTGAGGGGGGGGCCGCCACGGCGCCTGGCCGCAGGGCGCGTCGCACTGCCAATGCGCGCCGCTGGGCAGGCGCGGCACGCCCCAGCTCCGCCGCGGGAGTGGGCTCCCCACCGCGGAGCCGCAGCCCTGCCCGCAGCCGTACGCGGTCTCCAAACCCGTACGGGACCGACCGCACCTCTCCCTCGGGGGGCTGCTCGTCGCCTCCCGTCGACGGCCCGATCTCGCCCGAGGAGCCGTCGGAGCCGCCTGCGGGGGAGGCATCGGAGGGCCCGCACACTCCTGACGGGTCCCCGCCCGCGAGCGTTCGCAGCCGCTCGAGAGCGGAGCCCGCGTGCGACGAGGACTCTCCGACGGAGCTCGAGGACGTCGTGCTGAGTGCCCTCGCAGACTCCTCGATGGACCTCGAGCGCGTCGTGGCGGGCCTGAACCCCGAGGTCCTCCGCCGCCTGCAGGCGGCCTTCCCTCGCCGCTCGGGGGCCTCTCCGCCCGCCGCTCGCGCCTCGGTTCGCAGTCGCTCTCGGGGCCGCGGCACGCGTGTAGGCTCCGAGACTCCGCGGCCCGTGCCCCCGCCGCCGCCGCCGCCCCCTCACCACTCTGGTGGGCGTGCGGCGTCGCGATCCCGCGCGTCGACCGCAGGCCAGGGGCTTAGTCGGGCCGTCGCGCGCGGCTCCTCTCGCGCGCCTTCGCGTCAGGCGACGTCGCCTCGGCGTCGCGAGGTGCGCTCCCCTCGAGTCGCTCCGAAGCGGCGCCCGAGCCCCGCTACTGCGCAGCGGCCAGCCACGTCCCGCCATGGTGCGAGCTCGGGCGACGCCCACGCAGGCAGCTCCCGCGCGGACTCCGCTGCTCAGGCCCCTCAGTCTTCGGTAGGCACGCGCTCCTCCAGCGATGCTGTTGCGGCCCCGCAGGGCGGAGGGCGTGCCGCCGAGGAAAGGGGGTCTTCGAGCGGCCCCGCGCCTGGCCGAGATTCAGGGCACGAGCTGCATCCCAGCGGCTCCCACAGCGGCGACGCTGGGAGCGCCGCGGCTGCAGCCTTCGCAGCGCGGCGCACGGCCTCCGCGGCCGTTGAGCAGCCCTTGCCTCCAGGGGCCGCCACCGCCCTAGCGTGGCGTCTCAACCTCGGCGGTGAGAAGGTCACAGTGGTGAGGTGGGGACCCGCCTGGCAAGCTGCCTTCCAGAGCGCGGCGTCGTGGCTGAGGTCTTTCGCACCCGCAGGGGCCGCCGAGCCCGAGGGCAGAGATGACCTGCACTGCCTCCTGCAGGCCTTGCACGCCTATAAGCGCCTGTTTCAGACAGGCGGCGCCGAGCCGATCGACGAAGCCTCGTGGTTGCATCCTTACGTGGCCGCCGTCGAGCCCGAGGCTATCCCCGCGGGCGCTGACCTCCAAGCCATGGGGGCGGGCGCCATCCGTGGCATCGGGCTCGGCTCAAAGATCGAGCACAGGAGGCGCGCGGGCAAGTTGGCCTGCCTTTTCGACCTTCTGTACCACGTGCAGGACGGTCACGGCGCCATCCCAGCAGCGCTGTGGGGATCTCATTCCCCTCCGTCCGAGATCCTCGACGCGTTCGCGGAGGTGGTGCCCGTTCCACATCATTCGGGCCTCACGTCCTCGGCAGCTCGTTCCGAGCTCGCCGAATCGGCCGCAGCTGCGCGCGCCGAGCCGCGCCCGCCCTTTGACTGGGCGACCCTCGAGGGAGGGGACGCTCTGCCCGCCGAGATCGAAGCAGGGGCTCGCCGTGCTCACCGTAACATGGGCGGATCCTTCACCTCGGCGCGGGCGATGCTGGCGGAGGCGTCGAGGTTCGAGACCGACGGGCGGGACATCCTCGTTCCGCCCTTCTACGCGTCCAGGAGCAGGAGGGCCGCCACGCTGATCAGCTCTCCCAGCCCTGGCCGCCCTGCGCTCATCCTGTGGTGCGTCTGCGGCCTCTGCATCTCTCTGGGAGCCGCGGCGCCGACCGCAGGCCAAGGGCTTAGTCGGGCTGCGCCTTCCGCGCCCGCTCGCCCTCCGCGCACTCCCTTCGTGCGCGATTCTCACCTCACCTCCGCGTATCTCGATCGTCGCTCGAGATCGATTGATGCGTTCGAACTGTGGTTAGCAGAACACACTGGCGTGCCGCCCGCCACTCTTTACCGTAGCGGGCTACTTCTCGCCCGCTTCCTCGCGACCTTCGGCGTGTGGCTTCATGATGCAGGTTTCCCTCATTATATTCTGGTTCATGCCATCTTGGGAATCCAGAGCGCTCATCCGCATTGGAAGGCCTTTCTAACAGAAGCTTGGGACGTAGCGAAACAATGGAAGCTCGCGGAGCCGCCAAAGCTCCGCCCGCCCTTACCTCGCGCTCTGCTGCGCGCTATGGTCGGTCTCTGTTTCGCCTGGGACTGGCCTGTGATGGCGGCCTTGCTGCTCATGGGCTTTACGATGTTCCTCAGGCCTGGCGAGCTGCTGGCGTCACGCCGCTGTGACTTGTCGCTTCCTTGCGACCGCCTCGAAGTTGAAGGGGATGCTTTTCTTTCGATTCTTGTTCCAAAGACCAGGAGAACGTACCCGACGCAGCATGCTCGCTGCTCCGATCGGGGCACGGTGAAGATTCTGAATCAAGTGTTTGGGCGGTTGGCTTCCACCGATCCTCTCGCCCCTTTCGGTGCGAGCGGCTTCCGTACTCGGTGGAATCATTTGCTTTCGGCCCTGGGCGTCCCTCTTGCCAAAGCGGGTCAGGGGCTCAACCTGACGCCCGCATGTCTGCGGGGCTCTGGCGCAACAGACTTCTATATCGCTACGGAAGACGTCCCTCGCGTCTTCTGGCGGGGGCGTTGGCGTCAGGCTTCCAGTGCTGAGCGCTACCTGCAAGCCGCCGCCGCTTCCACAGTTCTTGCTGCGCTGCCCGTGCCCGCACGGGCGCGGATCCTGTTCTTCGCCACCGCCAGCGACCGCCTTGTCGCTTCATTTCTCCAAGTCGGCCCCGCCGCTTGGCCTGCCCTACTTGCGGCCGCCCGCCGAAACCTTGTCACTTCGCAAGGTCCTTGAGCACGGGTATGGCTGCCTCGCCGTCGTCGGCGAGCAGGCGGTCTCCCCCGCCTGACGCGCGGCGCCCCGGCACGAGCGCGCGGGACGGGCCTGCCCATTTTGGGCCGCCCCGCGCGCGCGAGCCGCGGCCGCGCTCGGAGACAGCTCGCTAGCGCGCGAGCGGGAGAATGCCTCTTCTATTCTCTGTGAGCAAGCTCCTGCTGTCTCCGCAGCTTCTCTGCCCCCCTCCCTCCTCTCCCAATCTAAGGCTGATGGGCGCTGCCTCGCCGTCGTCGGCGAGCAGGCGGTCTCCCCCGCCTGACGCGCGGCGCCCCGGCACGAGCGCGCGGGACGGGCCTGCCCATTTTGGGCCGCCCCGCGCGCGCGAGCCGCGGCCGCGCTCGGAGACAGCTCGCTAGCGCGCGAGCGGGAGAATCATCATCATCATCATCATCATCATCATCATCAGTGTCATTTACCGCCATGGCTGTCCAGGCCGAAGGCTCAGGCGGCAGTTGCCAGCATGCAGCAGAAACTATCACCCGCCGCCAGCGCGGAACCCAGTCGGCCGCACCCCTCTGCCAGGGCATGCCGAGCGCCGAGGTCCGCGGCCTGGGCGGGCGGGCGAGGCCGAGGCCGCGCCGTGCGGGCGCCCTTCGGCGCCGCCGCCGGTAGGCGCTAGCATGTGGCGCCCGCCAGAAAGGTCCTTGCCAGCGAGGGATCGAGAAGTTGGCAAGGGCGCCATGGAGAGCGCGAAGTTAGTCGCGCTTAGCGGTTCGGCTGCGATTCCTCCCTCCTCAACCTCCTCTTCTCCCATGGAGGGCGGCGCGAGAGCGCGAAGTTTTTCGCGTTTCGCGCAGCGCGAAGCGCGAAGTTGAGCGCACTTGGCTGGCATCTCTTGCTTGGCGGAAGGCGGTAGGAGGTCGGCGGAAGTAGGATGGCGGCGGGTGCGCTGGCGGAAGCCGGCGGAAGTAGAAGACCCGCCCTGGGGAGATGTCAGAGCTTCTTGGCTCCAGGTTTCCGGAGCCCCCCACGTGGACCAGCGAGCGCCCCTGGAGCAGTGTTGGAGCAGAGCAGGTACAGGCAGCGGACGGCCCGCTGGGCGTCGACTGGCTCCAGGCAGCGTTTTTGGGTGGGCAGCTCGCCGTGGTCTGGCTGCTTTGGAGCACGCCGCTAGTGTACCCGCTGAAGATCCTCTCCGTGCTCTTCCACGAGCTCAGCCACGGCATCGCGGCCTGCGCCACGGGCGGCAGCTTCGGCGCGGTCAGGGTGGAGGAGGACGAGAGCGGCGCGTGCGCCACGCGCGGCGGCAGCCCAGTGGTGGTGCTGAGCGCGGGCTATTTGGGCAGCCTGGTGTGGGGCGGCGCGCTACTGCTGCTTGCCTGTGCCGGCGGCGTCGAGCGCCTTCTTTCGGCGGCGTTGGGGGTGCTGCTGCTGACGGTGGCACTCCTGTTCGTGAGGCCCGTGGACTCCTTCGGGCAGCTGGCGGTACTCGTCTCGGGGGCGGCCTAGGGGGGGGATGACCAGGGAGGGTGCGGGGGGAGATATCATGGCTGCGGCCATGACATGAAGTCGCCCTGGATTTCAGGGCCCCCTCTTTTGATTTCAGCACGTCCCTTGGTGGCCCTGGGCCGCGCCCATACCTCGGACCATGATTTTAGAACCCTCCTCTTAGACGCCCCCGATCGTCTGGGGCCTCGTGCTCTGCCTGGCGGGGGCGCTGCTCGGGCCCCGGGCCAACCGGCTGGCGCTGCAGGTGGTCGGGCTGGCGAGCTGCGCGTACGCCGCGCTCGACATCCAGGACGGGGAGCCCACACGAGACGCACACGCCCAGGCCCCCCAGCCTGCGAGGCCAGCCTCGTGTCACGCACCCTCGCGCAGCACATAGCCCACGACTAGGCATGCACACGCACACGTTTTTTCGCTCGCCCCGACCAGGAGGACGTCATAGACCGCCCCTGGCTGGAGCACTCCGACGCCGCGGAGCTGGCCCGCCTGACGGGCGTCCCGGTGTCCACGTGGGGCGCCTTGTGGCTCTGCGTCGCCGTCGCGTGCACGGCGTGCCTCGTGCTGCTCGCCAGCCGCGGCCGGGCGCCGGGCAGCATCCACGAGCAGGGCGCCGCCGAGAGCGCCCCGCTGCTGCCGCCGCCGGTGTGGGACCTGTCGCCGTGGCGGCGCCCATGATACGGGGATGCCGCTGGCGATGGGTCGCTGGGCCGCTCCGCGGGAAGGAGCACTGCTACGCGTAATTACGAGCTGGTCTTTGCTGGAGTGCCGGAGTGACCTTGTGGTGCGGGCCCACAGGGGTCCCTCCAGCATTGGCCCGCGCGCTTGGATTTGGTCTACCCGCGGCCCCCTAAAGCCGCGCACCGAAGGTCACTCTTGCCTAGGGCCACTCTTGCGCGTAGCCGAAGCATGCTTGCCATGTAGCCGCTCTACGGGAGAAACACAAGCTCCTCCCCTCCTCATCGTTATCATCATCCCGTATCGTCTTCCTCCACATCAGCATCACCATCGTTTGCATACTGTCCTCAATCTTCCCTACGTGATGATTAACACCATCACCGTCATCAGTATTATCATCATCATTACCCACCACCTCCTTAAACCTACCCTTACTACCCTCATCATTCCGCCACGTTCATCCTCCTCGTGAACCTCATCATTCCTCATCTTCATCCCGCTATGTAGTTCCTTCTCGTTACTCTCATCCATCCTCCACATCATCATCATCATCATCATCATCATCATCATCATCAGCAGCAGCAGCAGCAGCAGCAGCATAACCATTATCATCATCAGCATCATCATCCTCATCATCCTCATCATCAGCATCAACATCATCGTCACACCATCATCACTATCATCAGCCTCAGCATCATCCTCATCATCATCATCGTCGTCGTCATCATCGTTATCATTACCATTACTATTACCCAGATTCCCCTCATGATGATCATCACAATCACCGTCATCCGTAGCATGATCATCATTCACTACCCCATCCTACGTATCCTTTTGGTCCGCCTCACTCCGCCCCCTGCGTCCCTCTCGTCGTCCTCATCATGGCTCATCTTCCTCCCACTATTTCGCTCTTTCTCGTTCCTCTCATCCACCCTCCGCATCATCAGCATCATCATCAGCATCAACATCATCATAAGCATAAGCAGCATCATCGTCCTCATCATCAGCAGCAGCAGCATCATCGTCCTCATCATCTTCATCATCATTAGTATTACCATTACGTACCATTCTCACCATCATCACCACCACAATCACCCTTCCCTCACCTGAAACCTTTGAAAGCCACAAAAGCAATCTCCGAATGTTTGCAGAAAACACCGAACCCATCCAAATATTACAAAATTCAAGTTTCCGAAAAACTCCAGAGACTGTGGTCTCCTCCTTCTGTTTCTCCTCTCTCTCTCTTTCTCTCTTCTCTTCGTCCTCCCTCCTCCATCATCGTCATCATCCTCATCGTCGTCGTCGCCATCATCATCATCATCATCATCATCATCATCATCATCATCATCATCATCATCTGCAGCAGCATCATCGTCATCATCAGCACCATCATCATTAGTAGCATCATCATCATCATCAGCATCATCATCGTTATCATCATTGCCATCATGTTCAGCATCATCATAATTAACATCAACACCACCATCACCTTCGCATCATCAGCATCATCAGCATCAGCATCATCATTACCAGCAGCGTCATCATCATTATTAGCAGCATCATCAGCAGCAGCATCATAATCGTCAGCATCATCATCAGCGGCATCATCAACTACATCATCACCACCACCACCATCGTCATCGTCATCATCGTTATTATCAGCATCATCAGCAGCATCGTCGTCATCAACATCAGCACCATCGTCATCATCATCAGAATCATCATCATCACCATCGTCATCATCATCATCATCATCATCATCATCATCATCATCATCATCATTACCATCATCACCACCGTGATCATCATCATCATCATCATCATCATCATCATCCTTGACCCCCGGCAGATTATCGATGGTCCTTGGGGGGGTTACGGGATCATGAGCAGATTGTCGATTGCTGACCCGCCACCACGAGCCTCACAGCCAAGTCGAACCCGTCCCGCCCACCTGGGGGCAAAGGCAGGGGGAGAGGGGGGGCCCTGTGCCCAGGGCCCCTCGCGCCCCCTCGGCGCAGGGGGTCGTCGTCGTCGTCGTCGTCGTCGTCGTCGTCGTCGTCGTCGTCGTCGTCGTCGTCGTCGTCGTCGTCGTCGTCGTCGTGACGGTCGTCGTCGTCATCGTCGTCTTCGGCGCAGGCTTTTCTTTTGTTGGGTAACACTCTGGGACCGAAAAAAAAACCGTCCTTGTGGCCATTTTTGAATTTTCGCAGACAATAAATAGTTTTTCCTGGAGAGGGCTCGGGCCCAGGATTATTTTTTAGTGGGCTAACCCTGCCCCTGGTGCCATACTGGAAGAGGACCGGCGAATTTCCGTTGGGACCAAGAATCCGGTAAAGTCCCATGTTGGCTGGAAAAGTTACGTTTCGCGCGCGCCGGCTCGAGGAAAGAATGCCCCCCGTCTCCGATCCTCGATGCCTAACAGAGTCCGTCGACGCCCGCTTTTCCCTCGTAAAAAGAAGGTGCGGAGCGTTTTGCGCAGAAGAATCCTCACATCTGGAGACCCTAAAATTTTACAGAAATTTCAAGAAAGTTGACTTTTTGCGTACTCACTCGAGCGTGCCGAACATCCGAGGATGTCTCGAGCGAAGCGCTTGTTTTGCAGAACTTGAGGTGCATGGGCGCCCCAGGATGCCCAAGTGGTTCTGGGAGTGCGGAAGCACCATAGTTTACCATGGATCGTGGCCTTGGGAGCGCGGGCGCAGCGCAATTTACGAGGTATCGTGGCCCTGGGGGCGCGGACACAGCGTAATTACGATGCATCGTGGCCCTGGCAAGCAGCTGCACAGCGCAGTTGCAGCGGCGGCGTGGGGCGCAGTCCAGGGTGGCGTCTGCTGCGCGGCTCATGGTGAAGATGCAGGCGCTGCCGCGTGGGAGCCTCTCGAGTCGTTGGAGACGCTGCACCCTGAAATCAAGGTGGGCGCAGGCCTCGATCGGAGACCCTCCATCACGCAGGCCATGTCCCTCCTGCGTGACAAGGGTGCGGGCCAGTTGGCACCGCGCCTGGGGAATATAAGCCAGCTCCGGAGTGTGGCTGGCCACCCGGACGTCTCCCTGCAGGATGACATCCACAAGGTCTTCGACAGCGGGCTCGAGAAGGAGGAGCACGGGCCCAGCCACGAGGACAGGCAGCAGAACACGCAGCAGGGCGAGCTCCACAGGCAAGAGCTCGCGGACGCTATCGGCACCAAGCTCCAGGGCATCGAAAGGCACCTGGAGTGCTTGGGAGCAAAGCTCAAGCAGGCGTCGGACCTGCCGGTGAAGCCCATGACAGGAGCTGATCCGCAGCAGGCTACCCTGGCCATCGGCAAGAAGCAGATGTGGGTGGACAGCGAGACGGCCTTCTGCCGCGAGCGACGAGAAGACGTCCCAGGCGGAGACTGACGAGTCGGCCACGAGCGAGGCCATGGAGACCACTAGCGCTGACCCTGAGGTGCATAAGGTCAGTTGTACGGTAAACCAGTTTGAAGCCAAGATGAAAGAGTTCATGTACGAGCTCAGCACGAAGATGAATTCGACTGAGTATATGTAATAACTACAAGCGCGTGTTGTGCAGAACGGCATCGCGCCTCACGAGATTGAGGCAAAGTTCCCGAAGGCACCCGAGGTGAAGATGGCCCTCCAGAACAAGGCCAATCGGAGGCAAAGGTGCGCCAGCGTGAGGCCGTGCCAGACACAGTGCTGTCCGCCTTGGCCTCTCGCGCTTTGCTTTCTGGGTAGTGCTCCATGTGTTCCGCAGTATCCTCAAGCACATTTTGAGTTGAAAAATTTCGAAGCCTGCCCTCGAACGATGGTGATAGGCACTTTGTCGAGGATCTGTGATCGTGCTGCTCCGTGGTTGTTCCTTCAGCCGCGTTTGCAATGGGCAAAAAGAACACAGGCGCAGCAAGTTGTGCGGGATCGTGGCCCTGGGGGCGCGGACACAGTGTAATGCACTAGGCATCGTGGCCTTGGGAGCGCGGACGCAGCGCAATGTACGAGGGATCGTGGAATGCGGTCGCAATGGGAGCGCGGACGCACTTCAATCTACGAGGGATCCTGGCCTTGGGAGTGCGGACGCAGGACATTACAAGAGATCTTGGTCGTGGAGGGCGGGCACAGCGTAATGTACGAGGGATCGTGGCTTTGGGAGCGCGGACGCATTGCGATTACGAGGGATCGTGGCCCTAGCGGCGCGGACATTGTATAATGTGCGAGGCATCGCGGCCTTGGGAGCGCGGACGCAGCGCAAATAACTAGGGATCGTGTCTTTGGCGAGCGGGCGCAGCGTAATGTATGAGGGATAGTGGCCCTGGGGGCGCGGGCGCAGCCTACTTTGCCAGGGACCATGGCTCTGGGAGGGCGCAAGCACAAGTATTCACATTGGATCGTGGCCCTGGGAGCGCGGGCGCCGTGCAATTCAAGAGCATCGTGGCCTTGGGAGCGCGGACGCAGCGCAATTTACGAGGGATCGTGGCCCTGGGAGCGTGACTCCCGCGTCCAGCGCCGAATTTTCATGGAACGGCAAGGGGGCCGAAAAGCACCTTCCAAGTACAGATGCCAACACAGAAACGCAGTGTCTTCTGCTCTGGAGAGAGGGGCTTGTTTGGGCAACTTCCACGGACTGCTTCCTAGCCCTGGGAGCACGGACGCAGCGTAATTCACAAGGGACTGTGGCCTTGGGAGCGCGAACGGGATCGTAGCCCTGAAAGCGCGGACGCAGCTCAACTTACGAGGGATCGTGGCCCTCAGGCACGTTCCTGGCACGTTTCCTGGCGGCTTCCCTGGGCACGTCGCGCGGCGCGCCCCCTGGTACGTCCTCTGGCACGTCCGTTGGCACGTTCCGTGGCGCGTGCCCTTAGCACGTTCCGTGGCGAGTCCCGCGGCGCGTCTTCCTGGCTCGTCGCGCGGCGCGTCCCCTGGCACCTCCCCTGGCACGTCCACTGGCACGTTCCGTGACGCGTCTCCTGGCACGCCACTGTGCGGCGCGGCACAGCGCAGAGAAGCACAACCCAGCCCCTGGCACAGCAGCATCACCATCGATCTCTTCAGCATTGCCACTGCCCATCGCCCGAGTGAGGTGCGTGGCGACTTCCCCATGCTTCGCAGTTCTGGGTCCCTTGCTGGCTTCGCGGGTTGATCATGCTCCTGCACCTGGGCGCCCCTCCTGCGGGGCCGCTCGGGACGCAGGGGCGGGAGGCAGGGGGCCCGAGGCGTGCTCGCTGCTCGGTGCTGGGGGGGGCCCGGGGCACACGTGTCCACCCGTGCAGGAGTTCGGGGGAGGGAGGCTCGTGCATGCCGTGCCCGAGCACCCGAAAGGATATCCCGATTGGGACGGGGGCCGGCGATCGGCGATTCATCGTCGTCGGCATTGTGGTCATCACTCATCATCACCACCAACAACAACATCAGCATCACCATCACCACCATCATCAGCAGCAGCGTCATCATGATAATCAGCATCATCATCATCATCATCATCATCATCATCATCATCATCATCATGATCAGCATCCTAATCATCATTATCAGCAGCAGCAGCATCATCACCCCTCATCACTACCACCATCGTCATCACCATAATCAGCATCATACTCAACACGATCGTCAATCATCATCATCATCATAAACAGCAGCATCATCATCTTCACAGCATCATCATCATAATCATCATCAGCAGCATCATCAGCATCAGCATCGTCATCATCATCAGCATCATCATCCGTTCTTGTCCCCCCTCCCTCCCTCCCTCTGTCCTCCCCCCTCCTCGTCCTCCTCCTCATCATCATCCCACCTTCTCTTCCTCCTCCCCCTCTGGGAGGAGGGCCAGGAGGAAGAGGAGGTGTCGGAGGCGGAACAGCAGCTGCAGGAGAAGGGAGGGGACGCGGACGACGACGACCACCACCACCACCACGACCACCACGACCACGACCACGACGACGAACGACCACGACGACGAACGACGACCACGACGACGACGACGACCACCACCACCACCACCACGACCACGACGACGACCATTACGACGGTGACCACGACGACCGCGACGACCAAGACGTCGCGGCTGTTAAGTTTTGCTTCTGCCCCGGATCCTGACCCGCGGAGGTTCCCGGGGTGCCTTCCGGGGGGGCTCCCGGAGGCCCCCAGGGGCCCAACAAAGGCCGAAGCCGTCCCAAAATGGACGAGCCCATTTCTGACCCTCGAGGGCCGAGGGCAAAATGTTGCAGTCGCGGCTCGTGCCCCCCCCCACCCCCGCTGGGCGGCGCGCGAGCAGGAGATCGTGCTCGCGGCCGTGGCACAGCGCGGCTCCTCGCTGCGCGAGGCCGCGAAGAGCCTGCGCGCGGACCCGGAGGCCTCTCCCGTCGCTCTCGGCGGCTCCATCTCCTCCTCCGCCGCTTCCTCCGTCGCCTCCTCTACCACCTCCTCCTCCTCCTCCTCCTCCTCCTCCTCCTCCTCCTCCTCCTCCTCCTCCTCCTCCTCCTCCTCCTCCTTTTCCTCCTCCTCCTCCTCCTCCTCCTCCTCCTCCGCCTCCGCCTCCGCCTCCGCCACCTCCCTCGCGATCCTCGATCCTCCTCCTTCTCATCCTCCTTCTCCCCCTCCTCCTTCCTACGTCCTCCTCCCCGCCCTCCTCCTCATCGATCCTCCTCTTCCTCCTCCTCCTCTTCCTTCTCCTCCTTCTCCTCATCCCCATTATCATCCTCATCCTCACCCTCCTCATCCTCATCCTCATCATCGATTCTCCTCCTCCTCCTCCTCCTCCTCCTCCTCCTCCTCCTCCTCCTCCTCCTCCTCCTCTTCCTCCTCCGTCGAAGTTCCTCTTCCTCTCCCCTCGATCCGCCTCCTCTTCCTCCTCACTTTCCGTTTTCTTGCCCCGGGTCTGTCAGAGATGGGTCCGTGAAGAAAGAATTGGCCAGGGCGGGCCATGGGAGATGTTCAGGGGCTGGTTTTGAGCGGGTTTCGGACGGCGACGGCGACGGCAACGACGAACGGCTACGACTAAGACTAAGACAATGACGGCGGTTCCTGCGGCGACGGCGACGACGAAGATGATGATGGCCGCGGCGGACCCAGAGGCCCCGTGCGTCATGGGTCGCAGTCGTTCCATTCTGGTCTGTTCCCCCTTGGCAGTGTGTCGGGTTACGCACGGGTCAGCATGAAGGAGAGGAGTCCTGGAAGGGAGGGCTCATGGAGGTTTCTCACCGTTCTCGGGTTCCTGGGGCGGAGCGTCAAAAGAACAGTTCGGGATGAAGTGCCGGTCCTGAGGACGGTATAGGTAGTCCCATCCAGCCTCAACAGGCCCTGGGGTGGTCTGGCTGGCAGCGTCGTCGTCAGACCCCTCTGGGGGGAGGTCCATCGGCCCTCGGATATACCACCTTGTGGGGATCACCATGGTGGCGAGGGAGGAGAAGGAGGTGACTGATAGAGCAGAAGGAGGAGGGGAAAGAAGGATAAGGAAAAAAAAAAAATTCTGGATATTGAGAGGGAGGAGAAGATAAAGGAAAGGGAAGTGGAACCGGTGGAGGCGAACCGAGGTGGGTTGTGATTTCTTTTCACGGCCGCATGGAGAGGCCGATGTTGAGGAGGGGGAGGCAATTTGTCACGATCTGCGTGTTTAGCTTGTCGCCCTTCGACGCATGTGAAGTTGCGCTCCGTGAGAAGATCGATATTTCTACAGATGGAAGATGGTCCAAGAAACTGCTTCAATGGCATCCCATTGGCCTGCGGTCGCAAGGGCGGCCACACAAGAGGTGGACTGACTGAGAGTAAGGCCAGCTTAATTTTCCAGTGCCCAGCAGCCCTCCATGGGCGCGGACTCCCGCACGCCGGACCTCGCTCGCTCGCCCTTCGACGCATGTCGGCCCCACAGAGCAAGGAGAAGAAGGAGGAGGAGGAGGAGGAGACGGGGGAGCATCAGCGAAAGGAGGATGAGGGAGAGGATTCGGAGGGGTAGAAAGAGGAGGAGGTCGACGATAACAACGTCGACGACGACGAGGGGAGGATGAGGAGGAGGAGGAGGAGGAGGAGGAAGAGGAGGAGGAAGAGGAAGAGGGGGAGCGGGAGCCTCCAGAAGGCGAACGACATTCATCGACTGCCAACCAGAGTTGAGGAGTAGGGAGAGCACCAGGAAGCTGGATACGTCTGACGTGGCTGGCCTGGGCGAGAGCTGGCATGATGTGTGGCCGCACGTCTTGCCAGCGCCAGACGTTTTCCGTGGCCGGGCACGCCGAGCTTCCATGTGTCCGGGGCTCGAGGGGCGGGGATCAAGGCAACCGGGGGTCAGGCAGATCTCCGGATCTTGCAGGATCCTGCAGGGCCAGGGCTGCACCGACCCTGGCTTGGGCGCCGGATCCTGCAGGATCTTGCAAGATCTTGCAGGATCCTGCAAGGCCTGACTGACCCAGGTTTCGATTGACCCGGGTCAGTACATCCCCCATGTGCATCCAGCGCGCGGCAGGCGGGCATCCCCAACATGACAGTCCAGCCGTGCGTGTGTTCCAGCTCCCCCGACACCCGCCGAGCTGTTTTGTTTTCAAGCCGCGGCCCCAGAGGTTCCGACCGCTCCTCCGAGGGAGGATGCTCCTCCCGGATCCGTCCTTGATGGCCCCAGGGCCCGAACATGACCCCCGAGGATGGACGTCGAGGAAAAGACCCCGGTGGAAGAGATGATATCGTCGGCGATTTGGGTTCTTGGCAGCAGGAGGCGGCGGCCGCAGCGGCGGCGGCCGCCTTAGCAGCAGGCAGGGGGTGCCCGCAAGAGGGAGGGGGCCCCCGGCCGCACAGAGGTGGTGCGCACCGCCGTCGGGCAGGATGCGCTGTCGCTCCTGTTTGCGGCCGAGGACTCACGACCCCCAGGGCCCAGCTCTCGGGACAATCGGGATGCCCTGAGATCCTGGCGTCGCAATTTTTGTTCGAGCTGGGCGTCTTCGCCCTTTTTCGGGCCTTGGGACACTCACGGATCACGGATCGATCCAGCTCGAAAAATGTTGCAGAATAATGGGTTCGGGGCTCCATTCGTGATTTCTCACGATGTCTCATTTTTTCGAGACGTCGAATCTCAGGGACCCCCAGGACAAATTTCTCGACACGATCGAACTGGCTACGGAGAGGATGGGCACAAAGACTGACAGCAGTTCCTGCTCATTTCTAATGGGACTCGCTGTCGGTGTCGCCGCGGACGTCGCCCATTGGAGACGGAAGGCCACCTGCCCAACAGCGGCCGCTTTCGGTTTCGGACAACATGTTCAGTTGGACATCGTATTCAATTTCTCCGTGCTCATATCTGGCGTCCAAAATTTCCATTCGACCGATCCGATTCGGTACAGTGGGCGCGACAAATAAGAAGGCAGCTTGCCAGTGGGTGCCCCGCGGAGGTGGCTTCTTCCTCGACGAACCCAGGCTCTGAGCGGAGTTTGTGGGCTTCCCGCGGAGTCCATTATCGTCAGAACAATGCGCCCAAAGATTTGCCATAGCAAGGTTCCCCAAACAGTGCTTGCACTTAGGGGTTCTCACTTTTTTGTGTAAGGGACTGGGCCTGCCCGTCGGTATGGCGGCTATGTGGTCGCCGTCGCCGCCCCGTCGCGGCCTCGTCGCCGCCCGTCTGCTGGGCCTGCCCGTCGGTCTGGCGGCTAAGTGGTCACCGTCGCCACCCCGTCCCTGTGGGCCTGTCCGTCGGTCTGGCGGCTATGTGGTCGCCGTCGCCGCCCCGTCGACGTCTGGGCCTGCGTTATTTTGCACTGTGTTGCAGTACGTTGTATTGCACTCCATTGGCTTGATGTTTGTTCACGTTACTCTGCACTGTTGTGTATTGCTTTGTCTTGCTTCGTTATGCATTCCTTTGCTTTGCAATGCTTTGCATTGATGTGAATTGCGTTGCTTTGCATTGCGTTGCATGTACTTGCCTTGCTTTTCATTGTTTTGCACTGCTTTGCACTGTTCTGTATTGATTTGCCTTGCTTTGCACTACTCTGGATTGCTTTGCAGTGCTTTGTAATGTTTTGCATTGCTTTGTAATGCTTTGCATTTCTTTGCGTTGGTTTGCTTTGCATTGCTTTGCATTGCACTGATTCGCATCACATTGATTGCACCACATGGGTTGCATGATCTAGATTGCACCACATTGATTGCGCCATCTATCTAGATCGCACCGCATAGATTGCAAGAAATCGCTGTTTGGGGCCCACGCTGGCTAACATTTCTTCAAGGATGCGCCCACTGAATCGATGTTGGCAGGCCCGATCCGGCTAGGTTCCGATACTCCGACGACCCGATGCGGCACGATGCTTTCACGGCGTTGTTGTTGTGCATCTTGGCGCAGCCGATCCGAGTCGATCTCGATGTTGTAAGGATGCAGTTCGATCCAATACACATGTCGATTCGATCCGACTTCCCGATTCGATGCAGGGTGATCCTGCCCCCTTGTCCCTCGGGAGCGTGGCCTCGCTCTATCCTCATTGTTTCTTCTCCGGGGCGGTCTTGAAATGGAAACTGCATCGTGGCCAGAGCACTATGTGCCGGCGCCAAAAATCAGTGCGCCACGCCTCAAAGCGGGGCTTAGGGGGGTGCGTGCACCCTTGGCATGCTGAAGTTCGGCACAAGTGCACACTTCCCAGCATTGCCATGCAATGCAACGCAAAACAATACAACGCAAAGCAACACAAATGCAAAAAGATGCAAAACAACGTACCATCACCACGTAACGCACAGCAATCAAATACGACGCTAAGCATTGTAATGCAATGCAATACAATGCAATGATATACAACGCGATGTAAAGCAATGTTGTTGAAGTGCAATGCGATGCAGCGTAAAGCAAGGCAATTAAGTTTGCACGTGATGCCCCACCAGAAAATCAGTTGGGGAGCTGACCGCCAAGAGCTTCGCGGCCATTGGTCCTTTCTTTTTAACTGAACAGGTAGGGACCCTCCCTTGCAAAGCGTCATTGCGATGAGTTCGGGCATGGCGGGTAAAATGAGCGAGCGCGATCAGGGGCAGGGGACAGAGGAGAGCAGTGCTCCCAGTGAGCACTCGCGGAAGAGAAAAGGCCTCATCCATCTCCCTCCGCTCCTCCCACTCCTGCTCATGCTTCTCAGCCATCTTCTTCCCCTTCCATAACCATTCATCGTCATCCTTGATCAATGGTCATCTCTCTTCCCCTTCGTCCTCCTCCATTCCTGTCCTCCTCTCCGTACGCCCCCCCAACACCAACCCCTCCTCGCCCTCCCCCTCCTGGCCCCTCGTCGCTGCCCTCGCCCTCGCCCTCCTCGTCCTCTGGCTTACAGTCGAGTTTGATTAGTAGGTCGACCCTGCCAGAGCAGGGGTGCCCTTGTGTCCTGTGTTCAGCGACCCATGCCGTCTACAGTCCTAAGGCAATGTGACCCTCGGAAGGGTCTTGTGTCCCCTCGCGTGTCCTCTCCAATCAAGCTCGACTGCACCACTTCTTGACAGGACTTGGCAGGTTGAGGCTGGGGGCTGGGGGACAGGCGGTCCGGCGCGGTGGCCTTTCGCCCCTCCGGGGGCTGTTCGTGCCATCCGTCTGCGAGCTGGTGCTCTTGCCGTTCCCCTTCCTCTCCCTGGCCCGCCCGGCATTCCTCCTTCACGACGTGATCAATCTCGGCTGCGCGTAAGAATGACCCTTCGCCGGAGCGACCTGTCGGCGCGGGCCCACAGGGTTCCCCCCAGCACTGGCCTGCGCGCTTGGGTGTGGCCACCCCTCGGCAATCTGAGGCCGCGCTCCCAGGGTCGCTCTTGCCCAGAGTCACTCTTGCGTGTAGCCGACAATCCACCGTGCTCCCCCCGCCTTCGCAACTGCCGCCGCGCCCGTCAGCCTCCCTGAGCGGCCGCCCCCCCTTCGGCAGGAGCTGAGGAGAGACCGCAGGCGGGCCGCCGCCGGCGAGAGGGGGGGGGCCGATGGGGGAGGGCGAGGGGCACAACGGCGACGAAGGGGGGTGGCGAGGGCCAAGGGGTGGGGGGGGCAGGGGAGGGGGGAGGGGGGGAGGGGGGAGGGGGGAGGGGCAAGCTAGGCGCGCTCGCGTCATATCTGACGTCTACCCCTCCCTCCCATCCCTTACTAAGGCGTAGATATCCTCTCTATTCGCACAGTCGGATGCCGTAGCAGGGCATAGCATTACATGGTATAGCATGGTGTTGAAGATCAACGCGTAGCCTGACATAGCACGGCGTGGCGACGCCCCAAAGTGGGGGAAAATTGGGTTCGATTTGGCAGGACCGAGAACCATGCCGTGGCATGGCGGTGGACGTGGCATGGCGGTGGAAATAATGACGCCAGCACTGCAGCGGGAGCACGATTCGGAACGAGTGAAAGCGCTGAAATGAGGCCAGCGCTGCAGCGGGAGCACGATTCGGAGGACGCGTAGCCTGACATAGCATGGCGTCGCGACGCCCCAAAGTGGGGGGGGGGGGGGGGCTTCTGCGACCCAAGAAATGGAGGGGGGAGGGGGCAGGGGGGCACGAGGGCGTCTGGGTGTCTAGGTGTCCGAGTGTCTGGGTGTCTGGGTGTTTGGGTGCGTGGGCGTGTGGGTGTGTGGGAGCGTGGGAGTGTGGGCGAAGGCAGCGGGGCCACCTCGCCCCTCCCACCGCAGGAGGCCATGGCCCCCGTTCCTTTGTTGGGGCCCTCTGTCTAGCCGCGCTGCGGGGGGCCTGGGCAAGGGGTCGGTGCCCGGGGGGCGCGGGGATGCTGCACCCGTCGGGGGCTCTCCAGCTGGAGGGCTACGGCGCTGCTGCTGGTGCGGCACTCTTTGCTGACTGCCCTGGCTGCATGATTGTCCTGGCGGGTAGTCGCAGTGCGTGCGCCGTGGGTGGATACGTCGTTCACGGCCGCCCTGTCGTGTCGGTACGACAGCGCGTCTCCTCGCGCCGTTTATGTGTCTAGTCTTCTCTCTCTCTCACTCTCCCCTACTCCTCTACTCTCTCTCTCTCTCCCTCTCTCTCACTCCCTTTTTTGATAGTGGCGGTGGTTGTCTGGCTGGGTGGCCAACTAGCCGCGCTCGTTTGCCCTTACAGTGGCACGGTGGATTGATGCTGTTCACCTCTGTCCCTCTCACAGGCGTTGGGATTCGACAGTTTTATGTTTGCTGACAGGTTGTGCGATCAAACGTTTATTCATGCTCCACTTCCAGTGTTGAAGTATTGGGCGCGGCTGATGAGGCAGCTCCTATGGTTCGCTGCGACCGGCGTTGTCCTGCGTCGATGGTTACCTCGCCCATCATCGTTGCGGTGATGGTCCATTGGTCAACACCCGACCAATCTGCCTCGCATGACCGCTGTTTTGGCCACAACACCAATTTGCCTCGCAACGTTTATTATTTGCGCTTCACTGTCCAACACCGCTCTGGTGATTCAGTGGCGGCCAGTAGCCCTGGGCTGTCGCGCTTCAGTTCACTTTGAGTTGACACCAGATAAGCAATAACTTGACACGTTCCGTCTTGGGGCCCTGGGAAGGCCTCCGGCGGCTTCCTGGGGAGGCCTCCTGCGGTGAAAGGGACCCACGTGTTTCCACGCTTGTTCCGCTCTGGGGCGAAAGGGACTCACATACTTTCACGTTTGTTCGGCTCTGGCACGAAAGAGGCCCTTGTGTTTTCACGCTTGTTCCGCTCAGGCGCGAAAGAGACCCACGTGTGTTCACGCTTGTTCCGCTCTGGCGCGAAAGGGACCCACATGGTTTTACGCTTGTTCCGCTCTGGCGCGAAATGAACCCACGTGTTTTCACGCTGGTTCCGCTCTGGCGCGAAAGGAACCCTCAGGTTCGCACCCGTGTTCCGCTCTCGGGCGAAAGGGACCCACGTGTTTTCATGTGTCTGGGCCCCCCAGGGGGGGGATCTCTAGCATGTGAGAGCGGGCGGGATCACAAGAGCAAGAAAAATGAATGAATCGGCACCAGATGTGTAATAACTTGACACGTTCTGTCCTGGGGCCTCGGGAAGGCCTCCAACGGCCTCTTGGGGAGGCCTCCTGCGGCGAAAGAGACCCACGTGTTTTCATGTGTGTCCCGCTCTGGCGCGAACGGGGCCCACGTGCTTTCACGCGTGTTCCGCTCTGGCGCGAACGGGACCCACGTGTTTTCACGCGTGTTCGGCTCTGAGGCGAAAGGAACCCACGTGTCCTCACATGTGTCCCGCTCTGGCGCGAACGGGACCCACGTGCTTCCACGCTTGTTCCGCTCTGAGTCGAAAGGGACCCACGTGTTTTCACGTGTGTCCCGCTCTGGGGCGGAAGTGACCCACGTGTTTTCACGTTTGTTCCGCTCTGGCGCGAAAGGGGCCCACGTTGTTTCACACATGTTCCGCTCTGGGGCGAAAGGGACCCACATGTTTTCACGCTTGTTCCGCCTTGCGGCGCAAGGGACCCACGTGCTTGTACGCTTGTTCCGCTCTGGGTCGAAAGGGACCCACGTGTTTTCACGCGTGTTCCAGGTCGCCCAGGCCGATCTCGAACATGAGGATGTGTTGGGGATGTCTCAAGCGAAACTTTGGTTTTCACGTGTCAGGTCGCCTGGGCGAATCACTAACATGAGAATGTGTTGGGGATGTCTAGAACGAAAGGCTCGTTCTGCAGGATTTGTTGAGGAAGTCTCGAGCGAGGGCCTCGCCTGCAACGAAAGCCTTCTGCTGCAAGATGTGTTGAGGATGCCTCTCGCGAAACGTTGGCTCTGCATTGTTTAAGGAGGTGTCGTGCGGGGGCCTTGTCGTTGTCTGGGTGCGTTTCGTTTCAATTCGATTTCGCCCCCCGATCGGCTCGTCCCGCTTCGGAACTGAAACAGATATTGAGTTCGAGCTGGTTGGACGCCCGGCATGTTACGACTGCAGCCAGTTTTGGGCGAGCCATGCGCGCAGGTAGCTGGAACTTCAGACCCAGATCTGTTCGGACAGGATTGGGGTGCCAAGGATGGTTTGATCCACAACGCAACAGAGTACAGCACAGTTCAACACAGCATGACGCAGCACAGTGCAGCATTGCACGTATCAATAACAATTTACGCCAAATCGCGGCCCTGGTTATTTGCGAGGGGCCCTGGCACCTCGGAGTGCTGCTCCCTCGTCACTCGACGCCATGCAGATTCAGGATGGTGAGCCGAAGCGCATTCGTCTTGGTGTGTCTTGTCTCGCTTCGAGTCGGTCGGTTCGGCCTTCGTCTCGGTTCGCATCGTTTCGGTTCGTCTTGATGCAGTTCGTGGAGTTTTGGTGCGCCGAGCTTCGGTCCGTCCACTCTCGGTGCGTTTCCCGTCGGTTCGGAGTCGCCCCCTCTTGGTTCGTCCCGTTACGGAATTGAATCAGATATCGAGCTCGAGCTGGTCGAGCGCCCCGCGCAGCTCGATTGCGACCGGCTCGAGATATGCGTCCAGGCAGCTCGAACGTAAGATCCAGATCAATTCGATCAGGGCTCTGATGCCAAGAACGGTCTGATCCACAACGCAATAGTGAACAGAACAGTTCAACGCGGCATGGCACATTTCAGTTCATCACAGCACAGCACAACACAGCCCCTGGCACGGTACATCGCGAGCGTTAGTTTGAGCATTGCGATTGTTTGGTGTCTCGAAAAACCTACATGTTTCACATTTCTATATCCGTTTCCGGGTTCGTGGGTTGATCATGTTCGTCTGTTTCTTTCCTCAGTCCCCCCCCCCTCCTACCCATTCCTCCCGGTCTTTCTCGTCATCCTTATCGCTCCCGCTTTTCCTTCCAGGCTCGTGATGCTGGCTTTTGACGCCATCAAGGAGGGCAGACTCCAGCTGGAGGACTGCGAGGACGGGTGCCCAGAGCGCACGGGCTATCTCACACGGTCGTCCTTCTCGTTTGGTCTTCCGTGTTTTGATCTTTCGCGTTTTCGTTGTCTTGTGTCGTCGTCGTCGCGTGATGCATGCACGTATGCATTATGTTTCTGGGTCGTCATGGAGAACGCTGGGGCGAAGCATGAGAAGGCGTGGTTTTGCCCAAGCGTCCTACAGTGACCAGCTGTCGTGCTTTCCGCGGCCCTCTTCTGAGGGCCTGCGGGCCACCGTGTCCGCCTGCCCGCCTTGACGGCGCGTCTCCAGACGACGGCAGCCCAGGGGTGGGACTCTGTTGTTCCGTGGAAATTACGATGATGATGTAAGAATAGGCGTACAATGGAGCTCAGTCACGCTCCATGCCATAAACAGCGAGATCCTGCATCGAGGATGAAAAGGACGAGGACGGGTCAGGGGGATGGAGGCAGGCAGGTAGGGGGAAATTCTGACGTTTGCAAACGCTTGTAAGTCCTCATGCGGCCCCCTCGCCGCTACGGCTGGGTCGACATCGACCTCCTGGTTAGAACGCGCCCACGGATAAGCCCAGAGGTCCAGATGGCGCTCTGGAAGCCCACCATATCGAATCGCGAGCCATGACGCCATATATATATATGTAGATATATATATATATATATATATATATATATATATATATACGTCGACGGGAGAGCCATTGCGAAGGGAGGCTGGCCTGGGGGAAGGTGGTGGTCCGGACCGATCTCCACTGCCACTTCACCGCCGGCACCCCTACGACCGCGAGAGCGTTGGCCCTTTTATTTGGCCACCCTCCCCATAAATGTATGCATGTGCTTTCCCTTGCCCCCGCCTGTTGTTCGCCTTCTTCCAGATCCTCCTGCTTTCCACACGACCCCCCGAAGGAGCTCCTGCGCGACAGGCTCGTCGTTGGCGCAGCCGTCATGAACGACGGGATGTTGTTGGGCCAACTACCCGAGGTGCCTTGCTGAGGATCAGCCTCGCCGAGAGACCACTGCCAAGCTACTGGCAGGCTTGTCTGTGAGCCCCCAGCGACCCCGCACCCCAGAGCTCAACAGCATACACCCGTCTCCTTGGCCCAATTTTCCAAGGCCACGCCTTTCCTGCATCAATCCCTTTGTTGAACCTACCAGGGTGAACCGATCTCCTCCTCCCCCTCCCGCGCAGCAGGCAACCAGGTGGGGATACTGTCCCTCCCCCTCATCATGCGTCACATTCTCTCCCTTCTATGCTTCTATACATCCTCCCACCCTCGTCCTCCTCCTCCCCCTCCTCCTCCTCCTCCTCCTCATGCTCCTCCTCCTTCTCCTCCTCCTCCTCCTCCTCCTCCTCCTCCTCCTCCTCCTCCTCCCCCCCCATCCTCGTGCTGCTCCTTGTCCTCATCCTCTTCCTCATGCTCCTCTTCTTCCTCCCTCTCTTCCCCTTCGGCCTCCTCCCCTCCTGCCTCATCCTCCCCTCGTCTTCATCCGCTTCCCTCATGAAGAGCTCCCTCATGCCGCTCCACCAGACGTTTCCGTAGGCCGGGCAGGGCGTTTCGCTCGAGAGCCCTTACACTTATTATCATGAAGCCTACATCACGCTAACAGCTACAAGGATGCAAGGCCGTTGGTTTCCAAAATGCCGCTATCGCTTTAGCGCCGCAGGCATTCGGTTAAACAGTTTTCAGCAGTTACAAAAGATGAAGGCTCGATTGTTTTCGAAACGCAGATCTCGCTTTAGCGCCGCGCACATTCGCTTCAAAGCTTCAACAGATTCAAGGATGGAGGACGAAACGTTTTCCTGGAAAGGGCATCAGCCCAGGGTTCTCTTTTAGTTTGTAATTTGTTTCCGGTACCACGTTGGGGCGTTTTGCGCGTGCCCGCTCAAAGAAAATGCGCCCCCCATGTGGATCTTCGATAAATATCCATGTCCGCTGACCCTCGCTTTCCCTCGGTGAAAAACCGGGGTGCGGAGCGTTTTGCACAGAGTCCTCCATACATGACCAGGTTCAGACACCCGAAAATCTTACAAAGAAATCTGGGGAAGCTTTTTTGTTTTGCGTGCCCGCTCGAGGATGACACGTGCTGCGCGCAGAAAGGTTGAGGACGTCTCAAGCGAAACGCTTGTTTTGGAGAAGTGGAGAGGCCATCCCTTTCACCTCAGTCCTTTTCGCTTCAGGGCGGAACAAGCGTGAAAACACGTGGGCACCAGAGCGCGGCAAGCGTGAAATCACGTGGGTCCCATTCGCCTCAGGACAGAGCAAGAGGGCAGAGCAAGAGTAAAAACATGTGGTTCCCTTTCGCCCCAGGGCGGAGCAAGCGTCAAAACATGCCTTTTATTCAGAAGACCATGCGTGAAAGCACAAAGGACCCACGTGTTTTCACGCTTGCTGCGTTCTGGGGACCCACGTGTTGTCATGCGTCCTGGCCACCCAGGGGCGGGAGGCCGACCACGGAGAAGCACCGGCCGCCTCGATTTGTTCCGAGGCGCCAGATCTAATACATACGTATATAAAGTACAAACATCTATATACAAATACAGGTGCGTATATAAATAATGGAGAGAGGGAAAACAAAAGACACAACAAAATATAAATCAATAAGAACTAACAGGCGCTCCGACACGATAAGGAGGTTGTGCTTTCGGCCGTGGCGCAGAACGCGGCGGCGCTCGAGCTGGCCCCGGACAGCCTCCGCGCTGACGCGGAAGTGGTGCTCGCGGCCGTGAAGCAGGACGGCGGGTTGCTGCGGCACGCCTCGCCGTCTCTGCGCGCAGACAAGGCGGGCGACGTACAAGATCCGGCCGTCCATGAGATCCGTGCGCTGCAATTTTTTGTCCCACGGGGCGTTCTCTCTTGCCTTTGGGCCCCCAGGACCCTCACATATTGGTGCGGCTCGAGATATGCCGCAGACAGATAAAGTCTCGATCTCTTGTCGTGATTTCTCACGATGTTGCAATTTGTTCGCAGCGTCGAGTCTCAGGGAGGACTCGGGCGTCGTCGGGTGGCCCTGGCCGAGAGCCGGACGGCAACCAGGGCACCCGACGATTGGGCCTGGAGGGCCCCGGGGGAGTTCCAGGGCGGCACGACGAGCTGAGGGGGGCGCTGGGCCAGAGCCAGCTCTGGCAACCTCCGAAGGAAGAGTGCCGATTCAGTGTGTGGCAGAAAGTCGCGCCTCGAGCGCGCGCGTCTCCGCTCGATTTGCCGCGCCTCGTGGACTGCAAAGGCCACCGCGCAGGGTCCTGTCGCGCGAGGCCCCGCTCTTCCCGCCGCCCATCAGTACGACTCACACGGGGACGGAACAATGGGGACCAGTTCCAACAGCGGCTCCTGCCCAGTTTGAACAGCAGTTGCTGTCGGTGTTGCCGCGCGCGTTGTTCAGTCGAGACAATTGCCCAGCAGCGGCCGCAATCAGTTTTGGACACGTTTTATCTGGAAAGGTGCCCAGGCCTTCCTGTAAATACAGTTAAGTGAATAATTTGGTCGTGGAATTTCTGACCAGGTGGGGCATGGGTTAGTGGTGGTGGATGCCCCGCCAGACATGCCGTAAGTTGCTGAAAAGTTCGCGTTCAGTGAAATGCACTGCTGGAACCCACGGCGTGGGTGCTGGAGCCCACGCCGTGCCCTGCTGGAACCACTGCCTGCGTGCTGGAACCCACGCCGTGGCCTGTTGGAACCATTGTCCCTCGGACAAACTGGGTGCTGAAACCGATTTGTCTTCAAGGCATGAGGCGCTGGAACCATTATCCCTTATGAGTATTAAGCACTGGAAGCGCCGCCCCTCGTAAAAATTGCGTGCTGGAACCCATCTGTCTTGAAGGCATGAGGCGTTGGGACCAGTATCCCCCGTAAATATTGGGCGCTGGAACCGACGCCGTGGGGCGCTGGAACCACCGCCCCTCGTAAAAAGTGGGCTCTTGAACCCATCAGACTTGAAGGCATGAGGCGGTGGAACCATTATCCCTCACAAATTCTGGGCGCTGGAATCGACGCCGCGGGGCGCTGGAATCATTGCCCCTCATAAAAATTGGGCGCTGGAATTCATTTGTCTTGAAGGCATAAAGCGATGGAACCATTATCCCTCGTAAATATTGAGCGCTGGAACCTCACCCCGTTTAGGGCTATCAGAATATAAATAGGGCGGGAGATGGGCCCAGGAGCGGGGGGTGTCCTAGCATTGTAGCCACGCCTTGTTCCCAAACGGGGCCTGTTCGCACGCGCTGGTGCGCGTGCGATGTCTCGGTCGGTCGGTCCGGTCTCGGTCGGTCCTCTGGTCGGTCGGTCGGTCGGTCGGTCGGTCTTCGTTCGTCGTCGTCTCAGTCGGTCGGTCGGTCGGTCCTGTCGTGGGTCTTCGGTGTGTCGGTCGGTCCGTCCGTCGTCGTCGTCGTTCGTCGTCGTCTTGGTCGGTCGGTCGGTCCGTCTGCTCGTCGGTCGTCGGTCGGTCGGTCCGTCGGTCGTCGTTCGTCGTCGTCTCGGTCGGTCAGTCGGTCGGTCGGTTTGGTCGTCGGTTGTCGGTCGGGCGGTCGGTCCGTCGCTCGCCGTCGTCGGTCGTCGTCGTCTCTCCGCCCGCCTGCGCCGACCCCGCGTCCGAGCCCGACCTCGTCCGCCAAGCTCCGAAGATTCCCGACGGCATCGCGTTCGCGCTGCTTCGCAGTCACTGGACCCGACGCCACGGCACTCCTTCACGTCGCGCATCTTAGACCAAACAGGCTACGGATGCAACGATGATGAAGACATGACACACGCCCCCCTGACGCCTCCGATACGCACATATGCGTTCTAAATTTTCACTACCAACAATATTCACCTGACTGTAGGTAAACCTGTCCCCGGCGCCTCCATTGAAGGAGACTGGCGGATTCTTTTTTCGATCAATGACAAGGTCGACGGAGGTCGGCTGATTAGAATTTGAGGATATCCCAAGCGAAATGCTGGTTTTTGGAATTCCGAACGACAAATGACAGGGTAAAGTACACATGTCCGTGAGTTGCGGACGTCTCCAGTGAAACGCTTGTTTTGCTGAATTTGCGGAGGGTGTCTCAATCGAAACGTTTGTTTTGTCCTAGGAATTGCTCCTCTCCTGGGGGCCTGAATTCAAAGGGCGTCTCCGGCAAAATGCTTGTTTTCACGTGCCCAGGTCGCCCAGGGGGTATCTAACATGATTGTCCCCAGATTGAACCACGTGTTTTCACATGTCCACGCCACCCAGAGGGGGTATCGAAGATGGTGGTCCCGAGCTTGAACCACGTGCTTATACGTGTCCAGGCCATCCAGGGGGGCATCTAACATGGTGGTCCCGAGCTGGAACCACGTGTTTTCACGCGCTCAGGCCACCCAGAGGGGTATCGAACATGGTTGCCCCGAGCTGGAACCACATGTTTGTACGTGTGCGGGCTATCCACGGGGGAGGTATCTTACATGTGTTCGTCTGGGTTTCTTCGGCTGGTCATTTTCTAGATTCCCCTTTGGGGTATCTAACACGGTGGTCTCGAGCTGGAACCACGTGTTTTCACATGCCCTGGCCACCCAGAAGTGTCTTGAACATGGTGGCCCCGAACTGGAGCCACGTGTTTTCACGTGTCCAGGCCAGGTATCTGACATGGTGGCCCCGAACTGGAACCACGTGTTTTCACATGTCCAGGCCACCCAAAAGGGGTATCTCACACAGTGGCCCCGAACTGGAACCACGTGCTTCCACGTGTCCAGGCCACCCTGCTGAATTTCTAACATGGTGGCCCCGAGCTGAAACCACGTGTTTGCACGTGTCCTGGCCACCCAAGGGGGATATCCAAGATGGTGGCTCCAGCTTGAAGCAAATGTTTTCACGTGTCCAGACCACCCAGGGGGATATCTAACATGGTAGCCCCGAGCTGGAACCACGTATTCTTATTTGTACATGCCGCCCATCGGGGTGGGGATCTAAGATGGGTGCCGCTTGCTCCCCGCTGGGAACATGTGATTAAACGCGCCCAGGCAAACAAGAAAGGTATCTAACATTGGAGCCCCGAGCTGGAACCACGTGATCTTACATAAGCGGGCCACCCAAGGGGAGGTATCCAACATGTGGTCGTCTTGGCGCCCCCAGCGTGGAGGACCACAAAAGCCAAACAAAATCAATGAATCTACACCAGATGCGTAAGAACCTGACACAGTTTCTTAGGCTGGTTATTTTCCAGATGCTCCAGTAGGGCACCTAATATCTAACATAGTGGTCCCGAGCTGGAAACATGTTTTCACGTGTCCAGACCACTTAGGTGGATATCTGACATAATGGCCCCGTGCTGGAACCGCGGTCGCGGTCGTCGCCGTCCGCCGTCGTTGTCATCGTCGGCATTTCGGCCCGCCCCTTCTCGATGCATGTCGCTGCGGTTTGGATTCACTATTATCATTTCGACCTGTTGCGGAACATAACCCTTTTCCCTGAAAGGGCCCCGGCCCAGGGTTTTGTTTTAGTATTGTTAACCCCCGGTTTTGATTTGGGGAGGCAGGCGGATTTCTTCTTCCGTAAATTACGATATGAAATCCGACTCCTGCGTGGAAAAATGCGTGTCGCGCGTGCCCGCTCGAGGAAAGTGCGCCCCCCATCCCGGATCTTCGATAAATAACGAGGTCTGCAGACACCCGTTTTCCCTTGTGAAAAATTGTGTGGGCCATTTTTTGCATAATCTTCAAGAAAAACCAAGGTCTGGAGCCCCGACCAGGACACAATGCGTGCGCGCGCGTCCTGCGCGCAGAAATTTTTTGGGATTTCTCCAGCGAAACGCTCGTTTTGCAAAATTTGACGGGCCTGGGCGCTCCAGGATGCCCAGGGGGTTCTGGGAGCGCAAACGCAGCATAATTTACTAGGGATCGCGACTTTGGGAGCGCGGACGCCGCGTAATTTACAAAGGATCCTGGCCTTGGGATCCGTAGAGATTTGGCTCAAGTTCGAAACCTTGCCGTGAGGCTTCGAGCTTGTCCGCAGCCGTGCGGCAGGCTCGGGAGATTTCGGCGTGTGATCCTTCTTTTGAGGCTGCCCTCTCCGTGTGCGGGCACGACGCGCATTACCCCAGTTGCCCCTCCTCCGCCTGCCATGACACGGAAGACTGCGGGGCGGTCCGCCCGCAGGCAGCGTGACCAGAGCTCCAGTGACGACGAGCGCGGTCACAGCAGTCGAAGTCGCCCAGCAGCCAGTCCATCGTCTGCATCCAAGCTCGGAGGGTCAAGTTCACCAGCGTGTTCCACCTCTCCTCCCTCGGAGGCTCCTGTATGGCTCTCGGACCTACTACACAGCATTCGTGGCACTACTTCTGTGGTTACCCGTCTGGAACAGAGCATGCACCAAGAGATTGCTGATGTCCGTGCCGCTTTGGTCGTTCATGATTCCAATGCTCGTGGCCTCGCGGACAGACTCCACAGGATCGAGCAGATAGACTTCTCTTCAACGATTGCAGGCGCAGTGGAGCTAGCGGTGTCTACTAAGTTTGAGTCTGTACAGCAGCAGTTGGATGCTCTCAACAAGCCCATCCCGCACGCCTCTCCCCACCAGCATCCTTCCCAGCGTGACGGACCACGAGTTGCAGCGATGGAGCGTGCTCACAGAGTTGTCATTGTCGGCTTCCCGCGCAAGATGATGAAGACATCACTCGCTCGTGCCGCCGAGCTCTTCATCCGCACTGCGACTCCGACGGGCGAGACCCCACCAGTCATTCGTGCCTTCGACATGACGAAAAAGGTCACCCTCGATTTCCTCAGCTCTCAAAAGGCCAGTGATTTCTTGACCAACCTCGCTCCTCGCCAGCC